ATTTAGTACATGTAAGCATTTCAAGACAATAAAACTTTTGCAGGCCTATATAATGGTTTTGGAAAAATAAATCAACTTACTAGAGTTTAATTACCGTGCATACATACATTGTTACTTTGGTGCTTCACATCGAGTAGAAAGATGCATTGTCTTTATTAATTTCATATGTTTTAGATATAGTTTTGTTTATAGCTATAATTTTCTTTACAGATATAAGATTGTATATAAGTGTAATATTGATTATGGGTATATCATTGTTTATAGGTATATAATTGATTATGGATATAACATTGTCTACTTATATGTCATGTGTATTGGTATAATATTGTTAATGCAATTATTGGGGATTTTTTGTTTGCATTTATGGCTATATTTACAATTTAAATGTGTTATTTATTATTATGTTTAATCTTATTTGTATAATGGTAGATATTTTTTTTAGTTTAACAATATGAACAATAAATATCAATAAGTTTAAAATTTGAAATTTAGTTGCCCATAACATATTTCTATATGTAAAATACACACAATATGGCCCATACGTTGTATTAAAGGACGTTCAGTTTGAATATACTTTATACCAGCAAGTTTAAGAGTATAAATTTATACCATATACACAATATAGATCTTTGATCAATATCCATTTCAGAATTTGTAATTATTCGTCTTTTCTACACTTATGTCAACTGAGTATCGAAGATATTTATAACAAATTAATTATAGCATTTCAAGGCCGATAGTAGCATACCTGTACCTCCACTGTCCAACTCGACAAGCAAACCAATATAACACAAAGATAAGTGGTATATCGGATGATACATTGCCTCAATATTCAGTTTTGCAAAATTTTAAACAGCTTATCTGCTGATTATTAATCCACAATAATACATTAGTAAGAAAAAGGTTATATATATATATATGTGCTTAAAATCATACATCAGTATAGAATCATTGTGAAAGAAAAATAAAATCCAGAACACTAAACATATAATATACATTACATCTCTGTACCAAGCTTAGTCTTATCAATGTAGGCTTTTGTCACCGTGGCTTTATAATCCACCCTGTTTCATTTACCTTACCATACGTATATTGTTGTTATTATTGTTATAATCACAATCTTTAGACAGTTGATGGCTTAGTCGTACAAGATTCTTCATTTTCAAAGCAAATTATATCATCCAAATGGCCAGATTTGTGATTGTGGCCTAAACGTTTGAATAATACATGGCAATTTAAAATAATCTTTCAATCATTTATGTCACGTTAAAAATTTCTGCTGTTTGTGACTTGCTCTATAACTTCTTTTTTCATATGTGTTTCTCGTGATTGCTTATAAAATTACTTACACACGAAATGTTTTTAAACATTTATATTTCACTCCAAATTAGAATAGCTGTAAAGCCAAATAAATTATTTTATGAGATCCTTAAAATACATTTTGGTTTTCCAATATCATATATCACATCTTTGTTACACTAAAAATAATTATGAGCTTGATCACTGAATGCTAAAGATATTTGTACAAAATTACACTCGCAATAAGACCAACCTTGTATAGAGTTATGGTAGAGAAAATAGCAGATAAAATATAAAGCTTTACTGAAAAAAAAAAACGTTTGAAATGTACTTAGGAGGTTTTATAGATTACACAAATCAAATTTGATATGTTTCAAATTAAGAAAAGTTCTTTTAATCTTAACATGAAATTCACTTTGCAATCGGACTAGTAAAAAAAAAGAGACTCGATATATTCACGGACATTTTTTTTTAGCTTATTAAAAATAGTTCACTAAAATATCAGATTTTTTTTTAATGTAAAAGACTTGTAATGCTTACTGAATGTCTGCCAAAGCTTGTGAAGATACACGTATTATGTTAAAAGTTAGTAATATCAAAACTATAATGATTAGAAAGTGGTCACGTGGTCAGTCAATTCGATCGAGCCCGTGTAGAGCGAGTTAATTGAATAATTACTGGATCAGCCCCTATAGATGTTTGCTTTGCCAATAATGTTATATTACTTAAAATCAAGTAAGGATGTTGAGATATTTCATAAACAAATGATATAAGTGGTTAAAATACACCAACGTGTTAAACTTCAGTTAGTAGAAGGCTAAATATTCTACAGCAATGATTGTTCATGATGTCTCGAAATCTACTTGAAGTAAATATAAAGTTGATGTGGGTATTAAAAATGTTGTTACTTCTTTTGTATTTCAAATTAAATTGTTATACTAGTTCCATATCATCTTCATCTATGGAGAGATATAGAAACTTCTAATTATAGTTTTGATATGAAACCACAGCTGTCGCACTTGTAATAAAGCCTTGTGAGTATTATAGTTATAGATAATCTAATTTTGGATTAAGTATTATATAATATACATAACAATCTTACATATTTTCTGAGATTAATAACGAGAGCTGCAAGACTCTGAAAGAAGCATAACCTGGTAAAAAATGGGAAATAGAATGAAAAACTGGTCTACCCATTTATTTATTAGATAGTTGGACAACTTATACAGCGGAATAATACAAAATAAACGTAATATATGCGTATCTCTAAATTTCTTACATAAATATTGGGTCAGCCTATGAGTACAAAAACTTTTAACTACAACATCCATATAATACTCTCTCCAACATTCCCTTGTGGTTTTGAAGTGTTTGTCTAAATTTAATGATGATAGGTGGAATTCCCTGAAAACGGTATTCTTCGGGTAATAAGCAGTTCATCAAAATATTTATTGGATCAACAGTTAATAAGTTAAAGAACTTGTATGACGAAGTTATGCACAAGAGTAATTTAATAGTAGTATCAATTGTGAATAATCATGAAATCCCTATACAAATATAGGATTACTGCGTGATTAGATGACGTATGAAAACAATACACGTCAACTACTGTGACGAGTTTTTAGCACTAAGTCATTTTCCTAAAATTATCTTTAAATATTTATCCTCATCTATCATATAAGAGATGAATTAGCTGCCTAAGCTTACCGGCCTTAATCTTCACGATAGTTGTTTTATATGAATATCTGAAAATACTACCTATACAACGATAATAATGCCGATATGAAACATTAAAGTCACTTAAAATGATGATGGGAATAATTCATTCGTTGTACTGTATTTCACCTTTTTAATATTTCGCTACCAAACATTTTATTTCGTTGTTTTATAAAAGATTCACATAAGCCAAATTTTTGTATTGTTTTCCCCTCGAAGTTAGAGAAATGTACTCGGGTTCTTTTAAAACACTTCATTCGCTGCCAATGCTTTCAGAAGAAGAGTGCTTCCTTCTTTGTCTAAAGAACATTATTGATTTGTATTTATTGGGAATATTTCAGTTTCTTCTCTATTTATGTTTCTTATAGTTTCATTACTAAGTGATATACTTGATTATTCTATAACATATTAACTTCTGTTTCTACTTATTTTGTAGTGATAATTACAGAAACATGCCCAAACATTTTCTCAAGCAAAGAGAAGTGTGACATTTGTTTTAATGATTCGAGTCTGTTTTAATTAACGTTATGTATTTTAAAATAAAACCATTTTAGGCTTTTTAGAAAGTAATGAAAATGTAACTACCTCGATATATCACCCATAAACTTGTAGAATTATAATGTTAAATATAAAAAATTAACCCCTGTTGTGACACAATATTTATTTGACACTAATGAGCTTTTTGTTTGAGGTGTGCATATTAAATAAACGAACCACTGCTAGAGATTATGGAAATAGCAGATCTATTAAAATAACAGTAGGTGTATTGTTTAAATTTCTGCTGGTAAAACGAGGAAATACTGTAGTAAATATAAATATAATGATAAAATTGAAAATAATTTATTTCGACATAGCTTTATATATCCCAATTTATATTTTAAAAACGACATGTTTGAATAGAAGAATAAACTGGTTTGAGAACATAGAATATGTCAGAACTGCACGTTATCAGTTTTGATGTAAAGTGTGTTTAACCTACTAAAGTTATCTGCAGATTGTGAGTCGATCGCTCTAACAACTCATTAACTTAGGGGTCTACTCAAGTCCCTCCCCCACCATCCTCCTCCAAACACACACACACACAGTAGCTCAGCGGTATGTTTGCAGACTTACAGGGCAAAAAACCGGGTTTTTATACCCGTGGTGGGCACAGAATAAATAGCTTTGTGCTCAACCATAAACAATACTCAAATACAAAGTTTTTAACTATCATGTGTAACGTACAGTAATTTGGTGAATTATGTATGACCAGTTGAGAGAAAGATTCGGGAGAAATATAGATAAAGGAACAGGTCCTTGTATTTTATATGGTAATTTTCTACATTAATTTCAATTTTAAGCACATTTAAAGTATGTTTTCAAAATTTAAGACGGATCTTAACGGATGAAATGCCGCTTTTATAAAAGTAATGTCTTCCCATTCGTTCATTCACATTTTATTTCAATATGTCACTGGTTATAACGACTTGTCTCCCAGAGCCGACACTAGGGCTTCGCATGTATGCATCCATATACATTTGATGCTGGCTACACCACAGTTAGTCGAAACGTCTTTCAGTTTTACGCGGATGAATGTAAACATTCAATAACCATTTCAATAGATAGTTACAAAATAAACTGGATTCCAATATTACGATATTTGTTAAATGTAGTAAAGATACATTCTATTATCTCATATTCTCTACATTCAATTTAAAGATAAATCGCATTATGTGTAACATTGTTTGTTTTGATATATTACGCATGCGTAAAGCCGTCTGATTGTTATTTTTTTGTGAAACATTTACACATGCATTAAAAATGACACGTGGTCAGTTAGATTCAACCTAATAATTATATACATATTTCAGTCTATTTAGTAATTGGCTACAATTCATATATATATATATGTATGCAAACAGGATTTTTGACAGTTATATTTCCAAGTATTGTGACGTACAAATTTGTGGTTACCGGATGTATGATTTCCTTATACAATTCTCATTACAAGACAGTAGGAACTGCATCGTACTTGTTAATTCGGGAGAATCTACGCAAATTAACAGGAAACAAATTATTTACATGTTTCTGGTTGAAATACTATAAATACCATTAGCCGATGAGTTAGATACTTTCCAACCATTAATTGAAATGGGTTAACGTACGAGAAATAAGAAAACCTTCACCTTCTTCGGGAGACAAAGTTTACAGGTAAGAAATGTTAAACGTGTTTCTTTATCTAATGACATACTAGAAAACCACTTTACTGTATCTGCATTTTATATACGTTTTTTTATTGGGATAGAAATTATGTTCAATATTTTTGTGGGTATATCTTATTCTTTGTCTTCATTTTATTGGGATGGGATCTGTTGTAGAGATAATGTTATGTTCGTATTTTAACATCGGTCTCGGTTTTCGTAGAGGTTTATGGGCTTGCAATACATTATTTTACTTTCAATAGAACTTGATAGTTACAGTGAATTTATTGATAATATTTTAAAAGTGTGTCTTTGTCTCATGGTTCTATGTAAGATGAATTCTTTAAAGAGACTTAAAAGTTTTTATTATTAGTGCAGGTTTCAGGTGAATAGAGTTAGATATAAGAAGAGATATAAATTTTTGATAGTGCTTAATTAATTTAATAACAAACATTTCGTGGGGGGGATCAAGTTTTTAATGAGGTTTATAAGTTTATACTTCTAGTCCTAATTTGTATTTTACTATGATAAGAGTTTTACAACCCATTTGTATAGTAGGCTTAATGTGCAAAATACAAGTTTTCTATAAATTGTTTAATCTTAAAGTTACAGACAGAATTTTTGCCAGTTTCTGTATCGTGAAGCAGATATCACTGACTCGTGTACTAATTTACAAAACATTGAAGAGATATTTTTTATTGAAACACTTTAAATATATTTTGCTGGAAATGTAGACAAAAACGTCACCAAAAGTTATTTGAAATGCATTAACATAAAGAAGAAAAAAAATCATCTTGCATGAAAATGTCTGCATGTAAAGAAACTATGTTTGTTTTTGTCGTAAAGCTACACAACTTTGTATCTGCGCTCTGTAAACCGCGGAAAATCGAACCCTAGATTTTTGCGTTATAAGTCCACAAATTTATCGCTGACCAGATGAAATAACAGACAAGTTTTTATGTACATACACGTCCAAAACTAACAAGATTTGTGCAGAGGTAAAAAAAATGGCTGAGAAAAATCTAACAACGCGAAACTATGCTCTGATTTAGCAAACTCTGACAAACCATAAATTTGTATGTAATTTCTTATTGTTATTTTTACTATGTCATATTCTATAGCTCGCTCGTAGATTGTGTAATACATAGATTTAACTTGGAAATACTTATCTAATCACAGTTGCCCAGTTTATTACTACGAGGAAAGTACTAGAAATTTTGCAAATTTTTAAAAATAAAAATCAGCATTTTATTTTTTAACTAACTTAAGGCGAGAAGAATGTATATAAGGTGCTATAACTTTAAAACAATTTCTTCTGATGAAAAAATGCTTTGTTATTGAAATACTTGATTTGATTGTTTAATTTTCTATGTCCTTGGACATTATCTTCTACTGAAATATCACAAACTATTTCAATACAATATTCTAATTTATAGATAGCGTGTAATTTTCGAAAGCGTTTATTTTGCTGAGAAAAACTGCTTTTATGTTCGAAAAATATGTGAAGTAATCTAATTTAAAGTTTTTCTCTTTCTCTTTTCAGTGTCTACCCACTATTATTCGATATTTATGTCGAAACCAGAATTGTCATATTGTCATAACAGAAGAGTTTACTTTCTACCACCCCCCTGAACAATGCAACTGAGACTCCCATTCACCGAAACAAAATATCAAGCCAGATCAAATTTCTTTTTATCTTAAGTGCACGAATTTCTCTTTATAGTGAAAATATAAGTTTTTATCTTTCTTAAAGTAAATTTAAGTGGAAGGAAAACCTTTGTTACAGCCAGATAAGTTTCACGTGTATAACGAAAGACACCAAAGTCTTCTTCTATAGCATGCAATAAAAATATAGGTGTAGACATATCACCGTACTCTTTCTCTGTACATTTCACCTGTCATTTTCAGAAATCTTGATCCTTCTCAATGTCTCCACGGAGTAACTTGCAGCCTGTGATTGATTTCCCAACTTATTATAATAGAGTAGCAGAAGCTCCTCCTTCTGCTCCTAGTTTTGAAATGATGTTGTTCAACAGTGAGGAGCAGTCTGATGTTGTTTTTTTGGTGGGCGAAGAGCCGGATATTTGGAGGTTCCCCTGTCATTTGCACGTTCTGAGCACTATGTCTCCTGTGTTTCGTAGCCTTCCCATCTACGACTTTACGTCATCATCAAAAGTCGTGTTGACTGTAACTGACATAAAGCCTTATGCTTTCGAAAATCTTCTTCGGTAAGATACATTTATTGCTATCAATTAAGAAACTCTCTATATACGAATATACCAATAAAAGGACTAAATTCATAAGTACCTCACAAGTGTCAGTTTTTAGAGTAGAAAAAGATAGTACTTACATGTATCACGACTGTAGTAAGATTATCCTAAAAACAAATGTTATTACTTACATGTATCACGACTGTAGTAAGATTATCCTAAAAACAAATGTTAGTACTTACATGTATCATGACTGTAGTAAGATTATCCTAGAAACAAATGTTAGTACTTACATGTATCATGACTGTAGTAAGATTATCCTAGAAACAAATGTTAGTACTTACATGTATCATGGTCCTGATACATGTAAGTGCAAAATTTGTTTCTAGGATAATCTTACTACAGTTATGATACATGTAAGTTCTAACATTTGTTTCTAGGATAATCTTACTACAGTCATGATACATGTAAGTACTCAAATTTGTTTCTAGGACAATCCTACTACGGTCGTGATACATGTAAGTACTAACATTTGTTTTGAGGATAATCTTACTACAGTCGTGATACGTGTAAGTACTAACATTTGTTTTTAGGATAATCTTACTACAGTCGTGATACATGTAAGTACTAACATTTGTTTCTAGGATAATCTTACTACAGTCATGATACATGTAAGTACTAACATTTGTTTTTAGGATAATCTTACTACAGTCGGTTACTATTATAGCATTGCACTTGTAAGTATTAACATTTGTTTCTAGGATAATCTTACTACAGTCGTGATACGTGTAAGTACTAACATTTGTTTCTAAGATAATCTTACTGCAGTCGTGATACATGTAAGTACTAACATTTGTTTCTAGGATAACCTTACTGAGAAATATAACTGTAGTCTATTTGGGTTGCATTAGTTATAAGAGCAAATTTCATATACCCTGAAATTAATCAATATGGATAAATGCTGTGGCCGAACACTATTTAAAGCAACTGTTACTACAAATGACCAGAAACGGTTATTGAATGCTACCTTTTTAATAAATTTTAACATGAATTATTATAAAGACTAAATCCAATTTGTATACATATTTTAAATAAATGACATAGAGAACATTGGTGTTTTTCTAGAGTTTTGAATAATTAAACCAAAATATATATAAAAATAATTATTTCTACAGGATAATCGTAGCTTATAAAGGAAATACTTTAAACAGTATTTTTTGTTCATTTTGACTAAAGTTAGTAACAGTGTTGCGATTTACATGTAATATTGAAGATTTTATGGAAAATCTGGAAAAAAACACGTTTATTTTCACATGAAAAGTATTAATGCTTAAAACAAATCATTATATGAAAGTAACCATTTCTAGAGCTTACAGTGTAATACTTTTGAAACTGATCATTTTGTTTTTGCATGAACTATGTAAATAGTTAAAATGTACATCAAATTAAGCTGTATAAGCCACAATTTATTGTTAACGATTTTTAGACGGTATGAAATCTAGAAAACGCTTTGCATAACTGCCAAAAAAAATGCGCTCATAATTTAAACAATAGAGAAATATGCATCAAAATTTCCTTTTTAATCTGCAGTACTTAACGAGTCGTTCGCTTAATGAATTGTTCATCTCTTTTATCCGAATCCTCAAAAATTAGAAACAACTCTTGTAAATTTATCATATTATAATTACAGATATGAAACTGCTATAATTTTTGCTAAAAAAAATATTATTAATTTTTTAAAATTGTCTTATTGATTTTCACTAGTTGGAGTAGATTGATATTGTGTAACAGAAAGTCCAACTTTTTTGTCACTTATTTAATGTATCATTTGATGAACATTTTTTCACAACAAACATTAAGGGTTTTCTTTAGAATGAGAAAAGGCTTGTTAACTCTTTTTATCCCATCGCCGTTGTAAAAAAAAAAAAGTTGAGTTTTCATAATTACCGAAAGTGTCTTACATCTTTAAACTTTATTAGTCTAAATCATACAAATAACAAACTGTACATTTTTCAGAAGTCTTATACAGTTTGTTTACTTTAAGGTTCTTGTACACCAAGGAAGCTACGTTTGCCTCAGTGGAAGCAGCACTTCATACACTTTACGCAGCCAACAAGTACATCGTGTTAGAGCTGTCGGCATTATGCTTCCGTTTCCTCTCCCGCAACGTCAGTGAAGAAAACGTCCTTCATGTTTTTCAGTACATGATGAGGAATGTGGTGACGTCCACCCACAGCGAACTGACCAACCTACAGGACGAGGTTATGATGAAATGTTTCTACCTTTTAGATGAGCACGCTGAAACCATTTTAAAAAGCGAGGATTTCTTAAGCCTGGACGAAACAACAGTTTATGATATTGTGAGTCGAGACAACTTACAGCTGTCATCCGAGAGAGTCGTATTCAATGCTCTCCTCTCTTGGGCCTGCCAGGAGTGCAAACGTCAAAGGCAGGAACTCACGTCTGAGAACAAACGGCGTGTTTTAGGGCAACTTCTCTACTGCGTGCGGTATCTGGTGATGACCTTGGAGGAGTTTGCACAAGGTCCTGCGGCATCAGGTGTCCTTAACGAACAGGAAGTGTTTTTTATCATCAAACATTTCTCCGGAGACACGTCTTTCCAATTTTTCGATCAAGAACTTGGAAAGCGTATGAGCATTAAGAGGCAAGATCGTAAACTCCCTTCCAACTCCACTTCTTCTCCATTCCCTATGTCCAGCAGCGGCTTTATCAGAATTTCACGAAAGGATTGCTCCAAATCAAAGAAACAATCCGTTTCGAAAAAAATGTTTAGATGTCTTGGAAGCTTCATAATTTATGTCATTCAATTGATCGATTAATTCCTTAATGTACACTTAATCAAATTTCAACATTATGTTTCTAAAGTTTTATCTTTTCACGTAATTTCTATATTACTTATAGTTTGCGATGATAGGTGGAAAACAAAGCTTTCTCTTCTACAGTAACTTCCTAAGTAGAAATACATATGAAATTGTTCAATTGAAGCTATGATGTTGGTTTTAAATGTGACAAAAAATTATAAGAAAAATAACTGAAATATGAAAAAACACAGACTAATTTGACCATGTACTCTTATAATAATAAAAATACAGAGTTGTGCTTTCTGTATACTGTGGAAATTTTCATTAGCGTTGTTCTTCTCACATTGCATATGAATTTCAGTACAAATACAACTTACACTTGTCCTAGTAATTTACAATACTAGCATAAATAGGCCTACAGCATGTATAAAGCCATATGTTTAAATGTATATTGAACTGTTATAGAATATATTATAAGGAATACATTGTGTTATATCGTACTTTTATATAACCTTTGATAAAACTATTCAAAAAGTATTAAATTTAATAGGTATTTTTCTATATCCACTTCTTAACAAATATAAAATATAAACTCAAATTCCAAGCTGTGTCACGCTTCGGCAGAGGTAGCGTTCGTCCTCAAGTAGGAGACTCACGTCTTAGGCACCGACTGCTATGATAGAATTGTTTTATCTAACACAGAACCCTTGAGTTTGATGTATAGTGCTGAAAAATTCGCTTTCAAAAATTAGATCATAGTTAGAACCTGGAAATAGAGAATCTACTTAATCCACGTTATTTTATCTAGCATAAACAATAGTGCACCAGCACGTGATATGAGGGCAGGTTGTTACTTGGCAACTCACAGAGTGTGCTCGTAATCAAAGAACATAACTACTAGTGTATTATTAGCTCGTTAGTAGCATTGCGAAATGGTTATTACTAAAGTTATAAATAAAACTAAGAAAGACACTTTTAGCCAACGTAGCGTAATTCAATCATGTTCATTTAGACTTTTATAAGGTGGAGGCAGGAGAGAGCTATGCCTTTCCAACAATATTAGTCGGTCAGTCAGATGGTCATATGGACAAATTTGTGGTTTTGTAAAATTTTTGTTTTTACTTTATCAACTGTCTCAAGTGCTTTGGTGGCTCCTTACTCTGCAGTTGGTTTGTTTACTACTCAACAGAGTGTGTAAAGTGCTTATAAAATTGTGCTAACATGCTGTTTGCAGTGTGCTTGAGATTTTAATTTGTATTGCACATCTGGCCAATTCCTACTAAAAGTGCTACCGTATTTATAATACTTTAAAGCAATCTCAATAAAGAAGTAAAAACGGCCTTGTAAAACCTTTAAAAGGTTGAAGACAGCAAGCATACTGCTGACAAAAAATAGCCGTTTTCTCCTGCGTAAAATAACTCAAAATAACGTAATCAATATCAATGCAAGGTTGTTTAGCTAGTTGGGATTATAAGGAGGCAAACACCATTACCTTTTCTATGCTACATAAGCACTTGGTGCGAAATAGACAAAGCTGGAAATGGTTCTGATCTGACTATATTGTGTTAAAGATGCTAGTTGTTTCTTGGAAGAAAAAAATTAAACCTGAAAACAGTAGCTAACTCCAAATAGAGATACAGCCTAATTTAGAGTGTATCTGGTAATATCAGAAGAGACTCGTGTGTCGTCTTATGACAGATGGAAATGCTAACTCCAAAATAGCTTCTATTGAATTGAGAAAAATATATATAATTTTAGCGCAAACCTATCTGAACATATCTGCCGCTGGAATCGAACTCCGAATTATTTAGTTATAAGTTCTGACGTACACTGCTACTCCACCAGAGGGATAATTGAAGAAGCAGTAACTTAGTTGATCATAACTACTTTTTTCATGAAAAAGTGGTACCATATACGAACTATCAGATATATATATTTATATATATACTAGAAAATGGATACACACACACATGTACTTAACACCGATGTTGAATTGTTTTTACCTTTGCTTTATGACTATCATTAAGAAACGCGTGATCTACAGGTATAAAAAATTTCAATAGTTTTTAAGTTTTATAAATATATATAATTAATTTTACGGCGTTGGCTACAAAATTAAAACCTTTAATATATGTCTATTGTTTTTCATTCTCAACTACAATTGTTTAATAACTGCCCCCAATATCACAGTGGTATGTCTGCAAACTTATACTGCTAAAAACCGGGCTTCGATACCCGTGGTAAGGAGAATACAGTAAAACCCTTTGCGTAGCTTTGAACTTAATAACAAAACAACAACAACAACATTTAATAACTATATATTTGACATATTAGACGGCATTTGATGGCTACTATTTCATGACTTAAACTAATATGAAAACTTTGATGTTATCCACTCAAATAGTAAATTAATATTTACTTTCATAATATGTAAAATCTTTCTACATTCTCTCAGAAAAGAAACTTCATTTTTACAAGTTTAAATCTATAGGAAAAGAATACTTAAGATCAAGCGTATTACGTAATTTAATATTACCAATGAAAACTAAATTGGGTTTAGTATAAATATATAATATTTTTCATGTAATTTTTTACTTTAGAATACTTAATTTTACGATTTAAAAAATAATCGTATTTTTCTTATTATTCTTCTTTGTTGCACCATGATATTTGTTAAAAAAACGGTATTTATATTTCTTGATAAATATCAATTGAATTATTCTGAATATGATTTTAATCAATTTTTATAATAAGTATTAATTACTGAAGAATTGAAAGTATCTAAATTGCAATTAAAGAATTGATCAGATTCGTTGCTTTGAAATACACCATTATTATACAGGCTAACGTTGGTTTCAGCATTTGTTCAATATGTAATGACATTCAGAAATATTGTATTAGAATATAATAAAAAAAGGAATTCATTATAACTTTACTGTCAATATAGCGTGAAAAGGTAATTACTTTCGTGTATATATTTCTAAAAATTATAAATCAGGCAGCCAGCCCTCAATATTTATATATATCTCTAATTATATTTACACTGTTAAAAAGTGTGTTTATTAGTGTAAATGCTAGTTAAAATAGTGGACATAAAATAATATTGACTCAACCTATGACAAGTAGGGTTGGTTACGAAATATAGGTGGATCATAATTACCTTCGTTGTTCTAGTTATTATATATAGTAATAACTATGTTTTCAGGACTTCCGGTGCCATCTTGGTTCATTACTTCTTGCCGTCCTTTATCTTCGATCGTAATGATACTTTTATTAGGACCTGGATAATTGTAAGGTCTCACTAAAGGAAAGCCAAACAAATGTAAATCATAGCTAGTCTTGAAATAACCTGCGTTTGATAGCGTAACTTTTGAACTGCAATCGTATCCGCCTACACATATCTAATTAAGAAACTTTAAACAAGTTTTATATTTAATTAATAATATACCTATTATGATGAGTTTGGATTAAAACCAAATCAAATAGGTCGTTGTTTATGCATTACTGAAATATAATGAAATCTAGGACAACTGTAATAAGACGTTTCAGTATTAAAAAATGCATTTAAAGCGATTGGCATCGTACAAAACTAATATATTATTGTAAGGAGATATATCGTATCAGTCGTTTTAACCTAAGCCTGATCTGTCTTTATTAACAAATACTTCAAACCTTTGCTCCAAACCAAGGCTGACCTGACCTTTAGTAGTTCTCATTCAGAGCAGGTTGTTGTTCAGTATAACTTACACTAGTATTTCTTGCTAGAACAATGATATTATCTGTTCATAGTAGCTTTCATACGACTTTCCGACCAATGTTAAACGTTCTTAAGGTACTTGGGCTATTTCCCTCTAGGCATACAAACTCGTGCAATTTTATACCTGACCGATATGGAGTCGCTACAGCAACCTTTATGTGGTTCAATTTTGGGAGAACGATCTGTGGATTTTTTCTATCAGATGACAATGCTTTGTATTACTTTGGAGACTCTGCACCGTTGTTTAATGGTGAAAAATGGCAGAACAGAGTGATCTTGACAGGCTGGTATTTCTTCTGCGCTGCATCAACTACCACATTCAATTTGACCTGGAGAAAAGCAGAGTTCCACAAAAAAGTGTCTCGCCTGTGGTCCCTCACGTCTAATCCTTGCTACTTAGATCACGAACTTGAACGTGCTGAGACCAGATTCCAAGTAATAATTATTATTTTTGCAAGTATAATATCTTTTCTACTGTCAGGTGGACTGATACTTTTCTACATATATGTTCTCATTAATTACGATGATCAAAGTAAGAGTTATGCAGCGTGGTTTGGAATAAACATACTTTCGGCAGTATATGGCGGATTCATTTGGCCATTTACTTTAGGTTTCATGTGTGTGGTATGCTTTGCTCTGCGGGAAAGATTCCTTCACGTCGACAGAGGACTAAGAAACTTGGAATGGTATGGGTATAAACATATGGTACAATTGAAGAAATTGTTTATTCGACACCAGGAGTTAACGGAACTAATAACTTTGATGGATTCCTTCTTGCAAAAATATATTTGTTTAATATACACAGTGTTTATTCCTCTTACTTGTTTTTTATTGTTCCAGTTTATGTGGTCTACTCAAGTTCTCTTAGTCAAAATAATGTGCATAACATGGACATTTTTATCATTGTCGTCTTTACTCGTCAGCTCTTTGTCAGCAGCCCTCGCTTCTTCTGCTGTAAGTAAAAACAAGTTTCTGTTTATTACCTTTGCTTGTCCTGAAAAAAAAAATATATATATATATTAGAACATTAATTACTTTTAAGTCAAAATATTTTTAGCACATTGTTTAATTGTAATTAAACACAAAGCTACACAATGGACAATGCTCTGCCCACCACGGGTATCGAAACCCGGATTCTAGCGTTGTAAGTCCGCAGATATACCGCTGTGCCACTGGAGGGCTTTAGCACATTGAAAGACATAGTTAACAACTAATATGTTTTTAACCAACTATCGTCTCTAAAATATTTATGTATTGAACAAATTCAGTATATAGTTATTTACCAATCTATCCATGAAACATTATAAATCAAAAGTCAATTATATTTGTAGAAAATATTTGGTGGCACAAAGGATACGAGTACGTAGATTTGAACGTTCAACTCAGCATATTAAAATATGGAGAATTTCTGTGTAACTCTTACGGAAAGTATATAGTTTTATTGTCTACTACAGTTCGCACCTTGTTTATTATTTCGTTTTGTTAAAATGTATAAATATTGTTTGTTCATGCTGTAAATATCCTTTATATTTGTGGTCTTTTGACACATAAACGACCTTAG